CCGGCCCCCCCCCCGCCGCCCTTGCCCGCCCGCCCCCCATCCCAGTGACAGTCGGCCCAGCCTGGAGGCGGCGCGCAGCCAAACGCACCCCCACCCCCACCCCAGTCACCACCTAAAAAGGAAAAAGTGGTGTCCGGGCCCCCAGCCTCACTTCCGCAAACCGGAGAGCCCCCCGACGCTCCTCTCCCTGTGACTCCCTCATCCCCCACTTCAGCCTCGCTGCCCCGGATTCCCCAGACTTGGGATCCCCCAGCCCTTCTCTGAGTGACCCCAAGACCCCTTCCCAGCCCCGCACTGACCTTCCCCCGACCCCCCCGCGCCCAGCGGGGGGGCCTCCTTTTCCTCCCCGAACACCAGCTTAAACTCCAGCTCCTCATCCTCGCAGCTCGCTGCCCCCATGGATCCGGACAGAGCCCCCAGGATCTGGCCTGGGTGGGAGGGGGAGCTCAGGAGGCTGCAGTATCTTCGCCCGGTGGCTCCCTCCCTCCCTTTCAATGAGACGCCCCCTCCTCTGCCGCTGCCGCCTCCCTCTGGACGCCCCCTCGTTATTATAGAAACTTTTCCAAACTTTTTTCCCCCAAACTTCTTCAAAGCGCCCCCCCCCAGCCAGTCCCTGATTGGCTGCCGCAGATTTTCCCCCCCAACCTCCACCAACGCCCCCCCCCCCAGCCAGTCCCTGATTGGCTGCCGAAGATGCTCCAGCCCCTCCTCCAGGGATGAGATGGGAAAACCACGCGCCCCTCGAGCTCCCCCACCCTCCCTCCCTCTGTCCTCTCTCCAGTCCCTCCCCCTCAAGAAAAAAAAAAATGAATTGGAAAACGGTCCCTCCAGAGGGATACAACCCTAATGGTGCCTATTGGCCCACAGTCGTGACAATCATTTCCCGCAGGGAGGTCCAGCCCCCCACCCCTCAGTCTTAGATCTGGGCTCTGGGTCCGAGTGTCTTAAAGGGGCCACACCCTGGGCCCCCAGGGTAGCGGGCCCAGGAAGACTCTTCCGTAAGTTCCGAAGGCTGGTTCGGCCAGCACCTAGCAAGGCAGGACCACCTCTTCCCTTTCCCTCCTGGCCGGAGGCTAGGCGGGCCCTGAGGTGCAGGCTGCTCTGAAGTGGAAAAGGCCTTTCCTTCCAAGTCCCTCGCCCCAGGACGCTCGGCCTGGGCCTTCTGGAAGACACTGCCCTGCGGAATCAGCACCTCCGCCCGCCATCCCAACCCATCTCCCAAAGGTGAAGAACATTCAGCAGGCCCCGGTGCCTCTCACAGTCGGAGTCGAAGCTTAGGGAAATGTTCAGAGCCCCACAGTTCCTGATGGGCGCAGATCCAGGCCGAGCTTTGACGCGGCCCTTGTCCCCGCCACCCAGAGGGGCCATTAATTAGCCTCCACGGGAAGTCGGCTCCCCCCTTCCTAGAACCGTAGTCTGGAATGAACCTCTGATCCAATAGCATCTAGCTCCAGCTCGCCTAAAAATCCTGGCCAGATTTATTAGGAGCCTCGGAGCCCAGCGAGCTGGTGGAGGCCCAGGGCTGGACACCTGTCACCTGGGCGGGGGGTGGAGGAGGAAGGAAGACCCGGACTTGGATTTCTAGGAATGGCAGGCGTGGAGGGCCCGGCTGTGCGAGGGAGTTAGCGGCGGGATTTGTGACTCGGGCTGGAGAAGCTGGGGGCCGTTCCCATTTCCCCTTATGCACGCACTGCGAGTGCTTCCAACCCTCCGAAGAGGTCGCTGCGATCTCCCATCTCTAAATACCTCTCTCGGCCGGCCGCGCCCCCAGTGGCGCCCCAGCGCCGCACCTGAAGGGTTAAGCGACCGCCCTCGGGTCAGACGTTTACAAACACTCGGGAGCCAGGCGGGGACCGCGCCCGTTACTCTAATGAGAAACAGGCTCTGCGGGGCCGGGGGAAGAGGGGAGGGCGGGCCGGGCGGGCCGAGCTCCGTGGTGGAGGAGGCGGCTCCCTCCCTCCTTCCCCCCCATCCTCCCTTGGGCCAGCCCAGGGCAGGCTGCGACACAGAAGGGGCGGGGAGAAGAGGCCAGGCCGGCGGGGAGAGAATGTTCCGAGGCCAAGCGGGGAGGCGGCCTGGTTTGATTTTTCTTCCCCCCTCTCCCAATTTTGGTTGGTCTTCTCGGGTTACGTTTCCCTTCCAGTTTCATCTCAGAAATAAACGAGAGACACGCGGGAAGGAGAGCGAGACCGTCAACCGGCCTGCACCCAGGAGACCCGACAGGGGAAGCGAGAAGGACAGAGGCCCAGACCGCGAGACCCAGGCCCAGCCCCTGCGCCCCAAGTCTCCCCGCCCCCTCGCCCTCTAGCCGCCCCTCCACCCCCCCGCGGCTCGCAGGCAGACGTGCACATTCTTTTCAAATGTCATATTTCCTTTGATCCTGGGCAGCGTTTCTCCATGTGTCTGGCTCAGCTCCTGCCCAGCCAGCCGCCTCGCCTTCCCCCTCTCCCCCAATCCCCTTTTTCCCGGAGAGCCCTCCCACTCCCTACATCTGGAAGGCCCTGAGGGCTGGCGTCGGCCCTCATTCCCCTGGCGACTCTGGCCTCTCCTCTTAGTGACTCAATTTCCCCTCTTTGGGTCCTGGGGGTGGGGCAGGGGGAGCCGAGGGGAGCATCGTTGAGTGCAAATGTGGCACGAAAGAGCCCTGGGCCTGCTCAGCGTGCCAAGCTTCTAGCAAGGGAGGAAGCGGGGAGCGGGCCCCCTCGGCGATGAAAACCCTCCAGTCTGTCTGGGCTGCGGCAGAGGGATGGGGCATGTGGCTTCAGAACTGTCCTGCCTGGCGTAGGAGCCTAGGGAAGTGTGGGGAGTTGTACATCTAGCCAGCCTTACACGTCTGCCCTCTGGCGACCACACCAAGAGCCACCTATCCTTCCTCGCGAGGCGGCTGCTCTTAGCTCCGCTGCCCCCTAGCGCGCACTCGCCGCTCCCAAAGAGAATTGGAAACCTGGGATTGGGTCTGAGAGTGTAGGATTGAGCTGGTCACCACGCAGCAGGCTCAGCTTTCTTACTTCGGTTTTTGACGTGCTTTGCCTTCTGTTCTGCACTTGCACAAATGATTCAATGGCCTCGGAGGTAGACATCATTTTTTCTTTTTTCTTTTTTTAACTTTATTTTTATTTTGACCAGGCAGGGACAGAGAAGAGAGAGAAAGCCACCAGGTCCGGGACTGGAACCACGGTTGACCGTGTGGGAGTCCAGCACTCTTAACCACCACGCCACTTGCCAGGCCCTGGACATTATTTTTCTTTAATTATGCAAGATGTTTTCTCCTTGAAACGATTCAAGCCATATAAAAAAGACGTACTAAACCATGACAGTCCACCACTTGGTACACATTTACTAACGTACATGTATACACACACGTTCTTTTTGTGCACATGAGATCACACCACAAGATTTTTCTTGCTTTTTTTCTCCTCTCAGCAAAAAGGCTTGGAGATCTTCCACAAGCACATGTGCATAGGAAAATGATGATCCAAGTGCTCACCTTTTCAGTTGATTGACTTCCACAAATCCGCCTGGTGATTAAGGCATCTGTATCCCACTCGGCCGGCTCTCAGTTGGAGTCCTGGACTCAGCAACTTGAGAAACACTCCCAGCACGTGTCCCTGTGTGCTCAAAATCCCAAAAGGAGGGCGAGATGGAGGAGAGATTGTGGTGTGACCATTCCCCATGGAGATTGCTTTCTCCTCTTCCTCTTTTTCTCTCTCTGGACAGTGAACATGTCCGCTAGTAAAAACATATCAGTACAGACTTAGGTCTGAAACTCAGGCCTCCTGGGCCCTTGTTCAATGCTATACTATTATGATACCACAATTTACGTAACACCGTCTTAAGCTTCGCTCCCCTCAAAAGTAGGACCCAAGACAAGAACGAGATACAGATGGCTGATAGAGGAAGCAATCACTAAGAACAGAAGTGGAGGACTGGAAAGAGTGAGCCTGGAAAAGGAGAGCCCCTCTGTAGGTGTAGGATTGAACTGGTCACCACTCTGAGCAGCTGGGACACTATCCCACTGACAACTTTCTTTGGAGCCAGAGAAAGTGTAAAGAGACAGCAGAATATTTCTCTTTTCCCCATGTCAAAAGTTGCCCTGTAAGTGTTAAATCCCTCACTCTTTTGGTTTTTACACACGTGTCCACACTGTAACTGTCCCTCAAGGCTGGAGCAAGGAAAGTCCTGAGCAAAAGACAAAAAACAAAAGCTATTGCTGAGCTAAGGGTACCGTCAAGCGGCAGCTGCAAACCATATACGTATAAGCCACACCCCCACCCACGGCCAGTTTTTATCAGGCTAGACATTTATTTCATCTTCGACATACCTTCTTCTTTGCCCTATAAATGTAGAGACCTGCAGTACGAGGGGACTTCCAAAAGTTGGTGAAAATAGAATTTAAATAAAATTTTCAGGGGCCAGGAGGTTACGTAGTGGTGAAGGCGCTGGACTCCCACACGGCTGACCATGATTTGAGTCCAGACCCAGCAGCTTGAAACTCTTGCCAGGCAAGTGTGCATGTGTGCCCAAAATCCCAGGAGGAGGATGGAGGAGAAGGGATTGTGCCATGGCCATACCCTTTGGGGTAAGTTCCATCAAGTTCAAGACACTTTGGTAAGCAATAATACTGCCATTTAGTCCATCCTTAAAGGGCTGAGGATCCTGGGAATTTAGCCAAGTCAATGTAATCGTTTTTAGTTTCTTTTTTCAAAATTATTACTATAAGGATTTTTGCCATAGGGCACTTGTGCTTGCCAGAGAGAGACAGTGAGAGGGAAAGTGAGAAGTCATTCCTGAGGGGGGGCAGTGAGGGGGATGGCCACACCACAATCCCATCTTCTCCATTCTCCTCCTGGGATCTTGGACACATATGCATGTGTTCCCTGTGTGAGTTTCAAACCATCAGTCTAAGTTTTGACCCACAGTTGGTTATGTGGAAGTCCTGCGCCTTTAACCTCCATGCCACCTGCTGGTCTCTCTCTTTTTACATTATTAACTGAAGAAAAATGAGTACCATTTAAAGACTTTTTTTTTTTTTGAGAGGTTTTTTGCTATAGGACACGTGAGCTTGCCAGACAGAGAGACAGAAAGCGAGAAATCACCCTCCAGGGGAGATGGCCACACTGCAATCCCTTCTCCTCCATTCTCCTCTCAGGATCTTGGGCACGCACGCACACGCACCTAGCATGAGTTTAAGCCACCGTGTCTGGGACTCGAACTGCAGTCGACTACGTGGGTGGAAGATAGCCATTTTTTTACCTTGTGGTTTTTTTTTTTTTTTTTTTTTTTTTTTTTTTTTTTTAGGATTAGGAAGTCAGAGGAGCCAAATCAGTTCTGTGTGAGGAGGATGTTTAATGATTTCCCTTCAAAACTCTCACTAAATTGCCCTTGTTTCATGAGAGGAATGAGCAAGGACATTGTGGTGGGGAAGGACTTCCTGGGAAAGCTTTCCCAGGAGTTTCTCTGCTAAAGCTTTGGCTAGCTTTCTCCAAGCACTCTCAGCATAAACAGACATTCTCATTCTTCGGCCCTCCAGAAAGTCAACGAAATGCCTGAGCATCTCCCAAAACTGTTGTGTATGGTGCTGGCTATCGTTT